CAACTATTATCATTAACAATTGATGGTAAAATTATTGACAGTTTTTGTTTCGAAGGAAAATAGAGTGAGTGTAAGTTTTAGAGATATGCTGGAGTTCCTATATAAACACAAATAACATGTCGAGAAAAACATATCACAAAGATAAATGGAACAACATAGTAAGTATATACTATTCAATAAATGAGTCAACATTCTAGTCCTAAATAATTTGTCGAAGACTACGCAGTATAGAGGAGGATGGCATCTAGGTTCGATCATACTTTCTCTCACATACATGATGACATACATAGTCATTCGTCTATGATGACTACTCTATACATGAGCAGACACGGTTTCACTTGGACTGGAACTATCTTGACCATTTCTAGACTCCTTCTATAGAGATAATCCGTTTCATGCTGCTGCATTTCCGATTATTAAATATTTGAATTTTTGAAGTCAATGAGGAAAAAAACAAGATTCTCTTCATCCTTACTTGAATATCATAATAATCTAGTTTTAATGATAAGAACACATGGTACTGTTTCTTTAGTCCCATGTTGTTAGACAGATAGATTTTCATCAGAAAAATCAGAATAGAAATGAACACATTCAACAATTGTTTTGGACGTCACTAAAATTGTAAATACCAAAAATTATTCAGTATTATCTTTTGATTATTCTAGATAAAATAATAATAAATTTCAAAAATAAAAACTTATTTGAACTGTTTTAAACATTAATTCGATTAATCTTTTTCTTGGTCATTCTAATTTATCAATCATATTTTGATCAATTCAATTCAAATCTTTTTTGTTTAACACTGTTTGTAAAGTATCATATATCATATTCGACTTTGACAAAGTGTATCAAGTACTACGATATCAGTAATATCTGTTTTAGCTAAATCCTCAATAGATGAAAGAAGACTTCTAGCACCATCAAAATGCTACATTTTCCGTTCCTATAATAATAGCTTGAGCTGTTGTACGGTCAAGTCTACACGAAGTTGAGCATTTTCTCGTACATTTGTTTGAAAAATGTGTTTTTTTTAATAATGAATTAAAAAAATGTTTTGTTTTTCATTTTACTATTATACCATTCAACAAAATCTTTAGTAGAAAAAACATTTTCTAATGTTTTCTCGCCAGAAATATTAAAATTACTTTGAACAGATGAACCATAAGCAGATAGTATGATAAAATTCTTGTAGTTCTTTCACATGTTCATGTCCAGTTATTGTTGTAAATACTTGTATAACATTTTTTACTTCAGAATGATCAAGTGCAACACCATCATATCGATTAAGGCTGACAAATGAAGGAGATTTTTCAATAATATCAATTGTTGTTGATATTGTGTGACGAATTTTAAGTGAATTTTGTGTTAAATAAAAACCAGATGTTTCTACTAAAAGTTTTCAATGTCTTACTTGTAAATATTCTTTTTTTAAGGTTAAATATAAATATTCAGAATAAATACTCATTCTCAAATTTCTTAGTAAAGTTCTTATGACTCTCGCTTATAGTTTA